ATTATGTTTAATTAAGATTTATCCATTTTCATCTTATTTAATTAGTTTAACAAAAAGGCTTAACACTTTTTGGTCAAACAATTACCCTCCTCAGACCCCGTTTATAGAATTTTACTGGATCATTAATGTTGTTGTTGTTGTGATATATACAGATCACCTAACCTTTAGTATTGTGAGGGACTACGGGGCCGGCGGTGAAGCCGCATTCTGGCCCGTTCCTTGCTTGTGGATTATTCTTAATTCTAACAGAGAGACAAAGTCAAAATTTTCAAGTTAGCAATTTTTGTGGCGCAGATTCCATTCAACAGACACATTATTAGACGTGGCAAAAGAGCTAATTGATAATAGATTGTGAGTAGCAGTGGGAACATGTAAAATATTATCAAGATTGAATTTATTATTGGAGACAATAACGGAACTTTTACCAACATGAGAGATGGGTAATTTGGAGCCATTACCTAGTGTCACTTCTTCGGGACCTTGGTATTCAGAGTGGATACCTATATTATCAAGGTCTTCAGTGATATGATGTGTGGTGCCACTATCCATCAACCAAGTTTGGGTAGGTAGGTTTGGAGAATCAGCAAAATTGGAAATAGGTCGACCATTCACCATGCTGCCACTATTGGCTTTAGGTGATGGGCATACACGTGCAATGTGGCCTTTACCTTCACAATTATGGCAAATAATCCCTGAAAATTCTGAAACTTATGGTTGTGCCTTTGACAACTGGTTAGATGCTGGAGAACTTTGATAAGAGTTCTGTTGGGTGAACCCTTGGTTGGAGGAGCGTCCACGACCACGCCCTCCTCGTCCTCTACCACGTCCTCGAGTGCTAGAAAAGGAACTTTTAGTAAAGTGGGTTGTGGGTGCAATGACATTAATGGTCTCATCTCTTTGTAATTGTCGCTCTTCATTCAGGAGAAGGCCATATAAAGCATCAAAACTAATATCTTCTTGACGCGATTCTAGTGATCTAGTAAAAGGACGATAAACAGGACCTAGTCCAGCAAGAACAAATTCAACCAAATCATCATTGGAAATCGGATGTTGTAGCGCAGCTAGTCTATCCGAAATTCCTTTTTCCCTCTGAATATAAGATTCAATGCTTGCATTGTCACGACGCAAAGTATGCAACTGCATCTTGAGTTCACGAATTTGAGGCTTCGATCCTGAAGCATATGCAGCAACAAGCTTATCCCAAGCTGCACGAGCGCTCTGCGCTCCAACTAATTGACGTAAAATGCCCTCTGAAACTGATGCAACAATCCAACTTAATACAAGTTGGTCTTCTCTCACCCACACTTTATATGCTGGGTTTGGTTTACTGTCCTCTAAAAGAGATTTAGGAACTGGTTCACTACCATCAATGTGATGGTTGAGTCCACAGCCGCACACCATCGGCATAAACTATGTTTTCCATAACAGAAAGTTTGTGGACGTGAGCTTTACCGGTAGCTGATGTGCCAGATTTGGGGAAGGCATAGAGTAAGATATGGGAGACTGAGAGGCGGACGAAGAATTGGTTTTATCCCCCATACCAGTCACCGTCTTCTTCTTTTCTATAAAGACAGTCTTGGGTTGTTAAACCTCGTAGCGCTCCGATACCATGAAAAGTTCTTTTATTCTCATGTTTAAACGTGACTATACAACCCCAATATATATAGTGAGTTCCCAGATGTATAAGACTCCTATGCCTAGGGATATACAAGTCCTTTGGCTACAAGAATCCTAAAATATAGGAGTAGAGTCGATGTAGGATTATCCTTTACACTCCCCCTCAAGTTGAGTAGGGGTTGAAACCACCGCCAACTTGGTCCGCAACTTCAAAAACCTGTTCTTCGACAATGGTTTTGTCAATACATCAGCAAGTTGATCATGAGAGCTGACATAACGAACACATAAAGCCTTCGCTCGAACTCTATCACGAACAAAATGGAAATCAATTTCCATATGTTTTGTTCGAGAGTGAAAGATGGGATTGTCTGTTAAGTACGTCGCGCTGAGGTTGTCACACCATAAAGTGGGAACAGAGGAAGTAAAACAACCAATCTCTCGAAGAAGATGCTCAATCCAAGTGATTTCCAAGGTGGCAGTAGCTAGAGCTCTATACTCTGCCTCAGTACTGGAGCGTGACACTGCTTGCTGCTTACGCGAAGCCCATGAAATGAGATGAGAACCCAAAAGAATAGCAAACCCAGTAGTTGATTTACGATCATTTATGTCGCCTCCCCAATCTGAATCAGTATAGCCATGTAATAAACTGGATGTGCCTTTAGCAAAGAACAACCCATGAGACGGGGTTGTCTTAATATAGCGTAGGATGCGTTCAACAAAAGTCCAGTGAGTGTCCATAGGGCAGTGCATGAATTGAGAGACCTTGTTCACGGCAAATGCTAAATCAGGACGAGTAAAGGTCAAGTATTGCAAGGCACCCACAACGGTTCGATAAAGGGTGGGATCAGTGAATTGAGATCCTTCAGTGGAAGAGAGTTTTGTGGATGGACAAGCTGGGGTGGAAACAATGTTGCAGGAGTCCATATGAACACGTTTCAGGAGATCATCCATGTATTTTCTTTGCGTCAAATGCAACCCAGCACTCGTCCAATGTGCTTCGATACCCAAGAAGTACGAAGGTGTCCCTAAATCACGAACTGCAAACTGTTGTTGGAGTTTAGTTACAAGTGATTTTACAAGAGTTGTATCTGAACCTATTACTAAAATATCATCAACATAAACCAAACAAAATAGTTTCTTGTCACCAGTAGGTTTAAAAAACAAGGAGCTATCAGTTTTGGATCCCAAAAATCCCAGTGAGAGTAATGAATCAGTAAGGCATCTATTCCACATTCGGGGAGTCTGTTTCAACCCATAAAGAGAGCGTTTGAGAAGACATACATGGTCTGGTCGAGTAGGATCAACGAACCCGGGGGGCTGGGACATATAAGCTATCTCATCGAGATGACCATGAAGAAATGCATTGGAGATATCCAGCTGGGTGGTATGCCAAATGATTTGTGACAGCTAGCGATAGCAATAACCGAGTGGTAGCAGGCTTGATAACTGGGCTGAATGTATCAAGAAAATCTACTCCCGGACGTTGATGATAACCCTTAGCCACAAGTCGTGCTTTGTAACGATCCAAAGATCCATCTGCCTTCAACTTTGTTTTATACACCCACTTGCAACCAATCACATTTTGGGATGGTGAAGGAGGAACTAGTTGCCATGTGCCATTTTGAATGAGAGCATTATACTCTTCCGACATAGCTCGACGCTAATTAACATTCTTAGCAGCCTGTGAATAGCAAGAGGGCTCAGGTGAGACTAATGTAGTTGCCAACAAGGAAAAGGGTCGCTTCGATTTCAAGGAGCCTGTTTGTGCTCTTGTAACCATTCCATGCGTGGGTGGAACAATGGAGTTTCCAGGTCTAGATGGAGCAGCTGATGTATCAGACATATTATAAGAGGATGAGTCTTCANGAATGGGCTTGCTTGCAGCCGCAGCAAGTAAAGACCCAGTTAACGTACTTGACTGGCGAAAAGCGGGAGTAGGAGCCCTCGCCCTCCTCGAAGCCCTTCGACCTACCAACAAAGAAAGACAAAGTAAAAAAAACGAAAGGAGGGAAAAGACGGTACTGTCAAAATCACTAAGGTAAAAATGAAATGACTCACCAGCCGAAGGTTTACGCCCAAACCTCTCATTGAACTGCGATCACTCGCGGATCCCCATCGTATGAGGCAAAATCTGGCTCACCCAGCCACAAACGTCGGCGACCAGCGAAGGAGGATCCTTCTCGGTTACTTAAAAAAAAGAGGAAGAACGACTAGATCACCAAAAAGAAACAAATAGCCATTTGGCAGAAACACTTACGAGCAAAGTTCCACTCCTCGGGAAACCTGTAGGATTCGACACCACGTGCTTCGTCCTTACGTAGAAGAAATTGACCCAAAAATGGCGATTTGTTTTATCATCCATCTTCACCACCAGTCCCTTGGTCCCTGTGAAAACTTGGGGTGAAGAGATGAAGCAAATGACAAAGAGAAATCCCACGGTTGGCCAGCTCCATGTACTTGATATGCATAAGGAAAAGCTTATAGATATACAGGGAGAGCTGAGCCGGGCACACGCCATAATAACGGTAGAAGTCCTCGGCCAAGGAAGGAAGAGGAAGCGTATAGCCGATGACAAACGGATACGCGTAGAACGCACAGTACCCTGGACGATGTACTTGTACCACGTCGTTACCAGTAGGGATAAGCTAGTTTAGTAATAAGATATTTTAGAAGAATATTCTACAGAATATTCTCTGCACTTGTACTTTCAGTTAGGTAAGGGATATGTCCCATATAAGTAGGAATAGAGAGAGAAGAAAGAGGTATGTAATATTCTATATGATAAGCTCTCTCTTGAAAAGTTGACTCTCAAGTAAATTACAAAGATTGTCTTTACTAAAAGATTCAATTTGTTGTTGGTCCCAACTTTCTTACATCAGATCCGAGAAAGCTTACTATATTCCCACGTTTGTTTGTCTTACATCATTGTCAGAGAGAGAATCATCCACCCAAATATTCTCTCTATTTACATTTATTGCCATTTAATATATTTATTGCTTGTCATTACTCCATCATACATTCATAATAGTACCATTAAACACTCCCTTGGTATGGAATAACTTTAATTGCGATTTTACGTTATTCACATTTACCAATTTCAGATCTAGGATTTATTATGTTTAATTAAGATTTATCCATTTTCATCTTATTTAATTAGTTTAACAAAAAGGCTTAACACTTTTTGGTCAAACAATTACCCTCCTCAGACCCCGTTTATAGAATTTTACTGGATCATTAATGTTGTTGTTGTTGTGATATATACAGATCACCTAACCTTTAGTATTGTGAGGGACTACGGGGCCGGCGGTGAAGCCGCATTCTGGCCCGTTCCTTGCTTGTGGATTATTCTTAATTCTAACAGAGAGACAAAGTCAAAATTTTCAAGTTAGCAATTTTTGTGGCGCAGATTCCATTCAACAGACACATTATTAGACGTGGCAAAAGAGCTAATTGATAATAGATTGTGAGTAGCAGTGGGAACATGTAAAATATTATCAAGATTGAATTTATTATTGGAGACAATAACGGAACTTTTACCAACATGAGAGATGGGTAATTTGGAGCCATTACCTAGTGTCACTTCTTCGGGACCTTGGTATTCAGAGTGGATACCTATATTATCAAGGTCTTCAGTGATATGATGTGTGGTGCCACTATCCATCAACCAAGTTTGGGTAGGTAGGTTTGGAGAATCAGCAAAATTGGAAATAGGTCGACCATTCACCATGCTGCCACTATTGGCTTTAGGTGATGGGCATACACGTGCAATGTGGCCTTTACCTTCACAATTATGGCAAATAATCCCTGAAAATTCTGAAACTTATGGTTGTGCCTTTGACAACTGGTTAGATGCTGGAGAACTTTGATAAGAGTTCTGCTGGGTGAACCCTTGGTTGGAGGAGCGTCCACGACCACGCCCTCCTCGTCCTCTACCACGTCCTCGAGTGCTAGAAAAGGAACTTTTAGTAAAGTGGGTTGTGGGTGCAATGACATTAATGGTCTCATCTCTTTGTAATTGTCGCTCTTCATTCAGGAGAAGGCCATATAAAGCATCAAAACTAATATCTTATTGACGCGATTCTAGTGATCTAGTTAAAGTACGATAAACAGGACCTAGTCCAGCAAGAACAAATTCAACCAAATCATCATTGGAAATCGGATGTTGTAGCACAGCTAGTCTATCCGCAATTCCTTTTTCCCTCTGTATATAAGATTCAATGCTTGCATTGTCACGACGCAAAGTATGCAACTGCATCTTGAGTTCACGAATTTGAGGCTTCGATCCTGAAGCATATGCAGCAACAAGCTTATCCCAAGCTGCACGAGCGCTCTGCGCTCCAACTAATTGACGTAAAATGCCCTCTGAAACTGATGCAACAATCCAACTTAATACAAGTTGGTCTTCTCTCACCCACACTTTATATGCTGGGTTTGGTTTACTGTCCTCTAAAAGAGGTTTAGGAACTGGTTCACTACCATCAATATGATGGTTGAGTCCACAGCCGCACACCATCGGCATAAACTATGTTTTCCATAACAGAAAGTTTGTGGACGTGAGCTTTTTCGGTAGCTGATGTGCCATATTTGGGGAAGGCATAGAGTAAGATATGGGAGACTGAGAGGCGGACGAAGAATTGGTTTTATCCCCCATACCAGTCATCGTCTTCTTCTTTTCTATAAAGACAGTCTTGGGTTGTTAAACCTCGTAGGGCTCCGATACCATGAAAAGTTCTTTTATTCTCATGTTTAAACGTGACTATACAACCCCAATATATATAGTGAGT